AGTCAATTATGACTTGCCAAAAATAATTGTACTCAACATTTACTTCAAGGCGCTACGCAGTTTATACTTGTATCAACTATAAGCGGCGGCCGCGTGCCATTTTGGCGCCGTTTATGCGGTACCTGCTTTATTCAGTAAATACTACAGGTATATGTAGAAAATCATAAAGCATTTCATAACAAGTTAAAGCTGAGACAAAAGTCGTATGATAATGGAAATGCTGCATGAATACAGACCAGCTTTTGTTTTAAACCGAGGTTCAGAAATAACCAAAGTTTGTGTTTAGAGACAAACACTGCTCCTAATGGCGCCTGGATTTTAGAATGGTCTAGAGTGATTATGAAAGAAAAGTAACCACGCAATTAAAATGCCCACAATTAGTGAAAAACGTGCTTTTTGTGCTTTACTCTTTGTGCTGTGGATTAACGCCAGACGAACAATACATAATTTAAATTTCTAATTTAAGCGACAGTCGACGGATAACGAAATTGCTGCAGCAGGTGAATCTTATGCCGGGGGGGGGGGGGCATTCTCTTATATACGCTATATAGGTACGTGCCGCCGGACAGGCTTATGACTTTTAAGCATTTTGGTCTGGAACAGGGTATAAAAAAACGACATTTTTTAATCTGGAATCGTTAAAAATCGTCTGGAACAGGGTGGAACGTAACAGGGTCGCAAAATTAGCATTTTGTGGTCTGGTACAGGGTAAGGGTTTTTATATTCCAGCGGGCAGCGGCACACCCCCACCCAATACTTTGTGGAGTACCCCCCCCCCCCCCCCCCCGGGATGTTATGTCATGGACTTTCTTAAGCCTCTCCATTCCAGCCAAACAGTTTCGAACCTACACAAGCTCAATAAATTAATCCTACTACTGAGTTCGATTCAGTAATGCGATAAAAAAGAAATAATCTCCTTTTTTTAATTTAATTTAAAATGATTATTTTTAGCTTGCGGGCTTTTTTTCCAGGCTCAAAATCGCCGGGAGCATAACAGGATTCAGAACCGGAACAGAGTTTGTTTTAAAACATTCTAGACGATTGAAAAACAAGGTAATTAGCTCATTTTGTATAGATCCCTTTCAAGCCATGAGCAGATGATCAATATGCGAGAAAATATTAACGTGTATACATGTGTAAACAGGACTCAAGGAAAAAATAACAAAATGTTATATGTTGACATTTCTTTCCATCTTTCTTTTTCTCATAACCTTTCTTTAACTTGTTTCTATTTTAGGAAAAAGAAAACAGTAAATATAATTTTAAGAGGACTTTCACTGTTCTAAGAAAAAATAACAAATTTTGGAATTTATTTTTATCTTTAGTAATTAAGTAAGTAAGTAAGTAAGTAATATCTTTATTTTGAGAGGGTAGCACGTAATAGCCAGGCTAATAAACCTGTGGCCCTCCCTCCTCAGAAGAAAAACGTTACTCTAACTATAATTTTAAGAGGACTTTCTAGCTTTTCTTTTCTTCCGAATGTTTATATATAAGTCTATATTGGTATAGAGCATTTGAAAAATTGTAAAAATGATAATCGACGTTGAATATCGACGTCTCTGGAACAACCTCTTTACCCCTGTAAAAAAAACGTTACTTTAAACAAACAAACAAGCGTTTGTGTCTACGTTTGTTTGTTTAACGTTTGCTTAGCGTTTTTTTTTTCCTTTTTACACGGACGAAGGGGTTATTCCAGAAACGTCGATCTGTTAAAATAACATATTTTTTAGCACTGATTATCATTTCTACAATTTTTTTCAAATATCTTAGAGTGCTACGCGGCACCGCACTATTTAACAATTAGATTATGAACTCGAGATTTCTATGATGTGATACTGAGTTGATGAGGCCGTAGGCCGAATCAACTATCACATCATAGAAATTGAGAGCGAATAATCTAATTGTTTTAGTAAAAATCATAACAATTGTCTAGTATTAACTCTAAATCATCCACCGGAAACTTCGTAGAAGCGAAAAGAAACGCCATTTTGTAGACGACCTCCAGCCACTGCACATTAATGGCTGATAGTATACGAGTAGCTCAGCCAATCAGATTGTCTCATTTGCATTAGTATACTAGTAGAATTTTACTAATTTGGGATAGAGAATGTCCGTAAGATAGACAATGTCAAGAGAAACTTGACATAATGTGTTTACAACTCAGAGAGTCCTCGAAAGATCTGTATGAAAATCTAAAAAAAAAAAACCTGTTGATATGAGTTATTGGCCAAAAAGAACGAGGCCAATATCGCGCCATCTTGACCGAACAAGCTTGGTCAATAACGGATTTATTATATGCGATCTGACTAGAACGACGCGGGAAAATAGTCTTCTTGTGGGAACAGAGCGGGCAATCCCGAGCGGTCAAGATGGCTCCATCTTAACCGCGCGGGTAGCCAATCACAGCACAGGATTTGCTTCATCTTGCCCGCTCATAGAGCCAGCCATATAATAAAGTGAAATATTGACTCCTCAATTCAGTTTTCTTACACCGAGTCGTCACGTGATCTTTTTACGCCCACTTCAAGATGGCGGACATTTACGTTTGGCAGTTTTTTAAGCAAGTGAATATTGTTTCGGATTAAACAACAATTTATAATTTGAAGCGCAACCAACGGTTTACTGTTTGGGGTAGAAATATGGTTGGAATTTTGCTGTTAAAACTGGTTTGTATTTACATATTGTTATGGGATGACGCGCCTTAAAAATAAGTGGTTCGGCCAGCTATTGTAGCGGCTCTTGCTATTATGTTTTGCTGGGGAATCAGATTACTGTGGATTCTTATAACGTCGCCATCTTGAAGTGGGCGAAAAGCTCGGTAAATCGACTAAAGATAGTTTCAGATTGTTTTTTTAGGGGGGAGGATGGAGCTCGATTACATTCGAATACCGAACACATTCACTCATGCATACCATATATGGATTGAATTGAGTTCGACTACGTGATGGCGCGGGCTTGGAATTCTGTTCGATTTTGTTGAAGTGCTACTTTGTAGAAATTAACGATTATCTGGAGGATATGTTAATGGCTTTGAAAGCAATTTATATCTCTTAGTTTTTGTGACATCAGACGGACATACTCGACCTCGATACCAAGCTAACGGAGAGAGAGCCTGCCACAGTGCGATCGAGGTTACGAAACACTGTGATCGATTAGAGACTGATTTAATGTTAGTGGTAGTAAGTCACGAGTTAAAGTCTGTCTACTAAGTGGCTTATCAGGCGGGCGCTATCTCCGGTGTCCATAGCATGACGCGACCAGGAGTATCGCTTCTCCCCTGGATGGAATGCTAGTCTATCGTGCAAGTAACCGTCCACCATTTTGTCAGGTTGCCCTGATAATTCATCGATACATTTATACTCCTCGGTGGAGAGAGGCACTGTGAAATTTAAGTGCCTTGCCCAAGAACACAAGACAATGACCCAGGCTAGGCCCCAGGCCCACGCTCGAACAGGGACTGCTCGATCTGGAGTGGCGAGTTGCGAATCTTAAAAAAATTAGGATAATATTTTCAAGATCTGTATTTGTAATCCGTTTCACTGATCTTCCTAAACCTTATAACCATCCATGTTCTTTCTTGATTTACCGGTTAGCTACCCTTTTGGTGGAATGGATACACTTACAAATGTCAACCAGTTTTACTGTCAGTACCTTTGTTCGCAATACCAAAAGCCATGTTATCTAGTACTATCCCTAAGAGAGGATAATATATCCTCTCTTAGGATCCCACAAAACGCCACTTCATAGTGGCACCCTTTTTAAATGAAGTACATAACTGATGTCACTTGACACTCCTCACTGGTATGAGGCAAATGGTGCAGCTGCCATTTTTGCAATAACAGAAATATTCAATTGCTGTGACTGTCAACTTCACCGCGAAAATTTCCCGCCCTTTCTTCTGACACAGCACCGTGACAACTGCAGAGAACTGGCCAGTCTTACTTCAAGAGCAAGGTATATACGGCCAGTAGCTATTCTACAAACTGACGCGTACTATTTACGTAGTGACTTGTCCGGCGCCAGACCTAAGTCACTGAGCGCTGCCTCGTTGAAAAACAATGGCAGAGTTCTGTGTGTTTTCGAGATTACCGCCCTATTCTTGCATGATGGGTTGATGCACTCTCATAACGGCACCCTTGTTGTACAATATACTATAGAAGATTGATACTAAAATGGCTTACTTACAGTTTGTCTTCAAACACGCGTCTTACTCTCAGCTCAAACTACGGTACTGTCAAGTGGAAGTTGCAAATTTTTGGACACTAATATATCGCTTATCGTGGAATTATAAAGAGGTCATGTTACGCGTTTGTTTCTACGAGAGCTACTTTTTATTACTCAAATGGCAGGAAACCGTATCACCATAAACTGTCTAGTCCCTTGAATAAATAGTCCGTCAAAATGAAAACGATATTCTAAAAGTGATTTAAAACAATACAGTTCAGACGACCTAATTTTGTTAATCCAATCTGAATACTGCAAAGCGGATACCGGAGCTGATGGGTTTATACAAACTGTGTTTTTATTCCTGCAAAAAATCTGTTTGTTAAGGATCACCAGATAAGAGCTCAGTGTTGCGTTTCTATCTTTTTGTCTCAGAATTTCTCGGGCTATAATTGGTTAATTTTCATCATCTAGGCAGAAGACAGACGATCTTCATCCGGGTTCCTCCGTCATCCGGGTTCTTCCTTTGTTAAGGATCACCAGATAAGAGCTCAGTGTTACCTTTCTATATTTTTGTCTCAGAATTTATCGGGCTATGATTGGTTAATTTTCATCATCTAGGCAGAAGACAGACGATCTTCATCCGGGTTCCTGCGGCATCCGGGTTCTTCGATCCAACTTAAAACTTTCGTTTGGACGAAACGTCTCGTGGATTATGTCAAAACACATCGTAAATAAGAAGACTACAGACGCATAAAAAATTACTCCTTTCAAATTGTGGAAATAAAGGATGGTATATTTTTACCCTATAGTTGCATGGCCTCAGGCCCCACAAGTCGCCTGTAGCTCAGTGATAGAGCATCCGACCGGTAGTCTACCGTGTGCAGAAGGTCATAGGTTCGACTCCTGTTGGGAGATCTCGTAATTGCTTTATCCGAGTAGCTTGTGTCACTAACTGATTCACATCTTTCGAATTCTTATACTTCAATTTGTTCATTTGTCTTGTTGGGTGGCAGTGTCACATCACACAATGTGCCAACATTTCACCTTTTTGAAAGGCGTTTAAACACCTTTTAAAGACGGTTTTAAAAAAATGTTATCTTGTATGTCACGATATTTTAAGTTTCTATGAGGCTTTCTTCAAAAAAATAGTTTACAAAGGAAGAAAAAAAAAAAAAAATAATAATAATAAACCAAACAGGAACAAGGATGGTTGAGGATGGAGAATATTAAGACGGATTGGGAACGGCGAACTTGAAAAAAATTGGCCAAATTTTTAAAATTGCACCAACCGTGACGAAGCTCCTTTATTCCAATTAAAACGTACTTCATCTGTAAAAATGTGAATAAAAAAACCAGCCCAAGGCCAAAACTAGCCATTTCTTGCATGGTAAACACTCCTCCGGTCTAAGAACTGTTAAGAATTTTAAGCTGTTTAAAGGGTGCATGGCATTCAGTTACATACTATTTCAGGATTTCAAAATAAAGTGCGATTCAATAATGTGTTTCGTAATCAGAGGATTTTCAAACAGTCGAAGATATACTGAGCGAGATTATTCACCCGCTACACACATGGGTGTTTGTATTATGTCATCAGGACGGAGTCTACTTCCGACTGAAAGTCTTCAAACTCCAACTTACACTCTTTTTTTTTTTATAAGAACGTCTAATTTTCGAGCAGAGGCTGAACTAAGACCGAATGTTCTTATTTTCGGGGCGATTTCAGCCTGAAAACGTTCTTACCCCCAACCTCGTTCCCAGGGTCTCTCATCTTCCCGCCCCCTGGAGCGAGAGAAGAGAGACCCTGGTCTGGTCTGGTCACGTGTGTCCCAGAATCTGGGATGTAGCAAATAAAAGATTAGTGGGAGGGGCAGATGAGTGTGAAATTTGTCTCCACTTTGCCTAGGGGTGAGCGGAAAGTGCTGTAAATCGAAATAACCGCATGTGGACGTGCTTTCGTGGCAAACATTTTGGTCGTTCCGAGACGCCAAAAAGACGATTAACGGACGATTAAATATTTTTGTAGCCTTCAAGACCGCGATCAAGGAAAGCTAGGGTTCTTAGATGGTCTTAGATGTATCGAAAGATCGCCATCTGTACACTGCTGTACAACGCACATTTGATCAAGATCTGCGAAGACGAAGGAGTCGAAAGCGAATCCAGGACAGGAAAGGGATAAAGAAAATCTTTATAGCTTTTATTTATTCGGCGGCAATGTTTTACTTGATTCTTTATTCTGTATTCGGTATCGTGTATTTCGTCGCTACCGGCGGCGTTGCGAAAATGATAAAAGGTGACAAAATGATCACCGACCAGAGGAAAATTCAACCCAACTCCAGGTAAATTACGTACTGTTGATTGTTTCTGTTTGTTTTTATTGCACTCGCCTTACCTTTACCCTTTTAGGATATATCTTTTAAAAACAGGAAAACTCGATATGCAACGTGCATTCACTTTGTTTTACATTTATGCGATGTGTACGTGATGTATTAGATTTTGCAGCGCTTAGACTAAGAGTCAGCGACTCGCAAAATAAGCTTGGTTTATTAAACTTGAATTAAGCCCATGGTGTCTTAATATTTTTCTTTCCTCTTTGTGGAAATGTTCAGACGTCAGTGTAATTTTATATAATGATGACGCCTTGACAATTGACTCCGATACGACATTGACCTTTCGAGACCTTGCCTGCCGTGGAGCAGCGCTAGCGCGCTGGAAATTCATCGATTTTCCGAAATTCATCGATTTTCCGTAGACATCTCGGCCATAGTAAATTGCCTCTAAACATTGGAGTAACTGCTGCAAACAGCGAACTGAAGACTGCTGTATAAAAACATCGCTTGCCTGTGAACAGTGGCCGTTAGCTTCTGGCCTCGCTTTGTTGTCGACAAAAGAAAGCGCGACAAAGATTCGTAATTGTAGGAGCCCTCCCTGGGGTTTGAAAATGTCAATTAGACACGTGACCAGACCAGACCAGGGTCTCTCTTCTCTCGCTCCAGGGGGCCGGAAGATGAGAGACCCTGGGAACGAGGTTGTCTTACCCCATGTTCTTAGGTTACATGGTATAGAATTTCACAAAAAAGATTCGAACGTGACCATGAAAATGGTATTAACATTTTATGTGATAGAAACTCATGTTGTTGCTATAAAAAATGTGCATTCAAGTATTTTGAGCTGATATGAACTACTTATTATACGACGTGACGTTTTAGAGTGCGAATACGCACAAAGAGGACAGCAGATATGAGGCCGTATTGCACGGGTCTCAGTCCCCTGACCGCGCGCTACGGAAAACACTGTTGAAAGCCTATATTTTAGGAAAGATCGTATAATAAACAATTTATTCAGCGGAAAGTTGTGTAATACGGCTGGGTATTTGTACTCGTCAGTTTTTATTTTTTCTCGCCTAAAGGCTCGAAAAAATAAAAACTGACTCGTAAAAATACCCAGCCGTATTACACAACTTTCCGCTGAATAACCTCTATTTATTCACTGAGATATTTGAAATGTTACATTTTGTTAATTTTTTGAAAGGATACTGGAATATTGTATTTAGAGCTCGATGCAAGAAACAAGTGAATAAAATGTTCTTAGCCAAGTCTCAACCTGGCTATGTTCTTAGCATGTTCTTAAAATTTTGGTCAATCTCAGCCTCAACGTTCTTATAAAAAAGGTTCTTATAAAAAATAAAAAAAAAAGAGTGTATATCATACACAGCTCAGCCGTTGCAGTGAGTTGAGAGCCTTGTACGTGACCGAACTGTGTCAAGGGCTTCTGACACGACAAACAATAGGAACAGTAAAAATAACTAAGCTAGAGTATCAACTTCTGTAAATTCAAAGCGGCTCTACCGACACCTTAGAATATCAAAATATAGAGCGCTAATTCCTTCTTCTTCTTTTTTTTTTTTTTTTTTTTTTTTTTTCGGGAATGCACTAGAAAAGCACACGAAGTTATTTCCAGGCTCTGTTTTTTCTGGTGCTGTATAAAGATTCAAGAAAAATTACACCGAGACTGCTTTTAATAATAGATACAAACATTATAACTGTGTTCGGCTACAACAAATACATCAAAGGTTCTGTTGTAATACGGTACAGCACTCAAGCAGTAAACACCAGATTAAGAATGTGCATGCGTTCGACTCTCTGAATAGCACTTCCAAAGTAGCGTTATAACGTTATAACGTTTTTCCCAGCATTTAACCGTTTGTTATTTGCCAAGCTTATTAAATATGCTGATTAAGTTTAAACATTGACTCTTTATAATGACCAAACCGGAAATTTTCACTCTTTGCCGCATGATAAACTACTATAGATGTTATGTCTGTTTTTATCGAGTGAAATCAACTCCGGAATCAACCCCTACTTGCAGGCAAATAACACTGCAAAACTAATTAAATATTAATCATGTCTTGGTAAGATTACCGTCAGAACTTGAACCATCCTTTGTAGCCACAATGTGACCAGTTGGTCACAAGAAGGAATAGCACAGAAAGCGATTTCGCGGGATTTAATCAACGTTATAATCTATATAATGTCCTCACCTTTCTTCAATACGTCTTGGGCCGGTTATTTCTCGCGACGTTCTGCTAGATGAGTCCCGGAATTCTGTGTTGGGGTAGTTAAAGAAATAGGAGATTAAAAAACAAGGTTATAGACTTAAAGTATTGTGGGGAATTTCCGTTAGTGGGCAACCGACCCGGGGGGTACTCCCTTATATAAGCTAAAAAGGCATGTGCGGCGCCAAAGGGTATGGTTTTTGAGCCGTTTTGGTCTGAAAACGGGTATAGATTTTGACCATTTTGGTCTGAAATAGGGTATGTTTTGCCTACTGGTCTGAAATAGGGTATAGATTTTTGCCATTTTGACTTTAAAATGGGGAAATGTTCCCCGAAATTTTAAGGGTCAGGTCAGAAATAGGGTAGGGAAAATCACATATTTTGGTCTGAAATAGGGTAAGGGTTTCAAGAAGCGTGCCGCACACCCCCACCCAAATTATTGGGGAGTACCCCCCGGGGCAACCGAGTAAGATGAGTAACTTGGGTTTCTGCCACGAAAGCAGCTACTTATCTGATACAGCTGATTAGCAGTATTTATCTAGAAAACTTTCAAACTCTGGGAGATGTGAAGATGGAAAGGTATTTAAATCAACTCAGTAAATAATCGACAGATCAATAATACAGATTGCTATGCTGATTTGTAGACATAACAGGGGTGTGGTCTTGGTTTGTGTGTGCCTTGATCGGTTTAGAATCTATTAAAAGTAATTAGTGGGTACAAAACGGGAAACGCTGAGGTTTACACCCACAATAATGTAGAGCGACAAACGATTAAAATTCAAAGAGAATACCCTTTTATCGAAACGTGTTTTGACATCATACACTTGGGGCTGTTGAATTGACCTTTTTCTACGTAGGGGGTAGGATAACAAGCTTATGGTATGATCCCTTGTGGTATTTTAAACACAATTACGAAACAGACAAAGTTCATAAACAAACGAATGAAGCTGTTGAGTAATCATAAGTCACCCTTTGCTCAGTGCACGTGTTCAGACCCCGTGCGCGCACGTGTTGGCAGAGTTTTGTTATAAACTCTCCACCATGAAATGCAAAAAGTGATTATTACGCTTGAGAGGAATTCTTACGCTTAGACATCTGAATAATCCAGTAAAGAAACATGTTTTGTTTTCCTTTTCATGAACTTTTCCATAATAATAATAATGACTTGATTAAATTTACACAGCCATCTGGTGTATGTTTCGAGCTTGACAAGTAAGTCCTGCCCGCCTGATCTTTTCGTCCCCGTTACGATTTTTGTTGATGGTACGCCGTTCGAATCGGACATGTCGACAGACAAGGCACCGCACAGGAGGTCCTGCTGAAATGTGTTGATCTTTAATTAAAGCAGATTATTCGTTAATCA